TATATATCCCCAGAACTCCCAAAAGCTAAGGTCTGTTTTCCCCAAACCTCTCTGGTATTTTCTGTTAGTCATGGGATTTCTGTATGCCAAGTTTGGTTCAATTACATTTCTGTTGGAGTTCAGAATGCTCTTTGATGGCAGGGAAACTATATATCCCCAGAACTCCCAAAAGCTAAGGTCTGTTTTCCCCAAACCTCTCTGGTAATTTCTGTTAGTCATGGGATTTCTGTATGCCAAGTTTGGTTCAATTACATTTCTGTTGGAGTTCAGAATGCTCTTTGATGGCAGGGAAACTATATATCCCCAGCAATCCCCAAAAGCTAAGGTCTGTTTTCCCCAAACCTCTCTGGTATTTTCTGTTAGTCATGGGATTTCTGTATGTCAAGTTTGGTTCAAACTATATATCCCCAGCAATCCCCAAAAGCTAAGGTCTGTTTTCCCCAAACCTCTCTGGTATTTTCTGTTAGTCATGGGATTTCTGTATGCCAAGTTTGGTTCAATTACATTTCTGTTGGAGTTCAGAATGCTCTTTGATGGCAGGGAAACTATATATCCCCAGCAATCCCCAAATGCCAAGGTCTGTTTTCCTCATGCCTCTCCAATGTTTTCTGTTTGTCCTGGGTGTTCTGTATGCCATGTTTGGTTCAATTTCATTGTTAGAGTTCAGAATGCTCTTCGATGGCAGGGGATCTATACATCCCAGTAACTGCAACTCCCAAATGTCTTGATCTATTTTTCCCAAACTCCACCAGTGTTCAATTTTGGGCATACTGAATATTTGTGCCAAGTTTGGTCCAGATCCATAGTCATTTGGGTTCACAGTGCTCTCCGGATGTACATCTTCCATAAATCACTGTCAATTCCTCCCAATCCCCTCCATATTTTTTGTTGGTTATTGGGGTTCTGTGTGCCAAGTTTGGTCCAGGTCTGTAATTCGTGGGAGTCGCAGTGGACTGTGGATGTCAGAGGTGAACCAACTGAAGGTACTGCAGATCCCACCATCCCTTGTCCATACTACCAAAAACATATTGTTCCTGTGATTAATCACTATGCTTTAAGGTATTTGTGCCAAATTTGATCCAGTGACTGAAAATACATCCTGCATATCAGATATTTACATTACAATTCATAACAGTAGCAAAATTTCAGTTATGAAGTAGCAATGAAAATAACATTATGGTTGGGGGTCACCACAACATGAGGAACTGTATTAAGGCATTGTGACTTCATTTAGGGGTCACGGCATTAGAAAGGTTGAGAACCACTGCCTTACAGAGGAAGGAAGTGGCAAAGCTCCTCTAGAGACTTCCTAGGCTAAAGAAAACCCTGTGGGGCTTCCACTGAACTGACAGGCGAGTCCCCTCCATAGACAGAGATAGAGAGAGAGAGAGCTACCAAGCAACCAAGACTGCTTCTCCCCTCCATAGACAAGAGAGAGAGAGAGAGAGAGAGAGAAAGAGAGAGCTACCAAGCAACCAAGACTGCTTCTCCTGCGGGCTCTCTCTCTCTCTTTCTCTCTATCCACCAAGAGGAGGGAAAGGAGAAGAAAGAAAAGAGGAAGGGAAAGGAGGGAAGGCAGGCACTCACTCTGGCGGGCCCTCAAGCGCTGCCGCCGAGTCGGGCCCGGCTCCTCCGAAGCACACCCACCGCAAAGGTGAGGAAGGAGGGACGGGGCCGCCTTCCCGCTGAGGGTTGCTCGCCCTCTCGCTCGCTTGCTCAGCCGGCGCCTTCCCCACCCTCTCCTCTTCCTCCTCCTCCTCCTCCTTCAGGCTCTGACTGGCTAAGGAGAGGAGAGAGAGGAGAGCTCCCAGCAAGCATCTTACGTATTTCCGAAATGGACGGAAATACAAAAATATTTGGCGCATGCCATTTCGATGTACTGGAATGTTTTCTTTGGCATGTGCTCTCATGGATTCTATCCAACCTGATCAAACGGACAAGGAGGAGGAGCAGGAGAACAGCAGCTACAACTAGAAGTAATTAAATACTAGTTTTCTGTTCAGAAATGTCATTTGTCATCTGTGCAAAAAAAAAAAGGTGTGAATTTTGTGCTCAGAATAAGTTCCAAACTTTGAATTGACTTCAAAAACTGCACTGTCCTTCTCTTCACTTCCACCCTTTTGTCCTTCCCTTCTCCTCTCTCTCTTCTCCCTCTCTCTTATGCACACACCTGTCTGTCTTGTCTTCCTGTCTCTCTCCCCCCCCCCCCCCCCCCCGCCTTGCCTCACTGTTCTTATCATTCTTGGGCTCCCCTCACTTACATATTTTTTTTAATTCCTACCTCATCCAAGGTTTTATTATTTTATTCATTTTTATCCTGTCCATTTGACCTGCCCATCTTCTTCGGTTTTATTTTGTGTTAATTTGCTTTATTATTTTATTTTGCTGTTGTAATTATCTTCTGATGTATTTTTTGTTTTCTGTATTTTATTGTGTTGTGTTGTATTTTGGGGCTTGGCCTCATGTTAGCCGCCCCGAGTCCCTATTGGGGAGATGGTAGTGAGGTATAAATAAAGTTTATTATTATAAAGTTTATTATTACCTATCTATCTCTGTGCCTAAAGTTCCCTCCCATTGTCTCTCCCTCTCCCACACAGACATATAGTGTATCATATAGTGTATCTATCTATCTAATGCCCTAAGGACTCTTGTTACACTTTCTCGCTCTCTCTCTCTCTCTGACACAATACACACATACACACATATAATAATAAATTATAATATAATATATTTGATATTATATATATATATATATAAAATTAGATAGACACAGATATAGATAGATAATAGCGTTCTAAAGAGCCTAAGGACCCCTGCCATGCTCTTGCTCTTTCTCTCTCACACACATCTGCCTGACTGCCTTTCTGTCTGTCTGTCTGTCTGCCTGCCTGCCTATCTATCTATCTATCTATCTATCTATCTATCTGCCTAAAGATCCCTCCCATTGTCTCTTTCTCTGACACACATTCATATAGCTACAGTGTATCTATCTATCTAATGCCCTAAAGACCCTTGTTACTCTTTCTCACTCTCTCTCTCTGACACACATACACATATTATATAGATAATAGGGTTCTAAAGACCCTAAGGATCCCTGCCATGCTCTTGCTCTCGCTTTTTCTCACACACATGTCTGCCTGACTGCCTTTCTGTCTATCTCTATCTATTTATCTATTTATGTCCCTAAAGATCCCATTGTCTCTTTCTCTCACACACATATACCTACAGTGTATCTATCTATCTAATGCCCTAAGGACCCTTGTTATACTTTCTCACTCTCTCACTCTCTCTGGCACACACACACACACACATAGATAATAGGATTCTAAAGAGTCCAAGAACCCCTGCCATTCTCTCTCTTTCTCTCTCACACACGTCTGTCTGACTGCCTGCCTGCCTGTCTATATCTGCGCATTAAGATCCCTCCGATTGTCTCTCCTTCTCCCACACATACATATGTCTACAGTATCTCTATCAATCTATCCATGGCCGTAAAGATCCTTGTTATACTTTCTCTCTTTTTCTCTCTCTCTGACACACATACAGGTATAGGGTTTTAAAGACCCTAAGGATCCCTACCATTATCTTGCTCTCTCTTTCTCTTTCACACACATGTCTGTCTATCTCTATCTTTCTATCTCTATCTGTGCCTAGAGTTCCTTCCCATTCTCTCTCCTTCTCCCACACATATATATGTCTAAAGTATATCTATCAATCAATGGCCATAAAGATCCATACTTTCTCTTTTTGTCTCTCTGAAACACATATAGATAATAGGGTTTTAAAGACCCTAAGAACCCCTGCCTTGCTCTTGCTCTCTCTCTTGCTCTCTCTCACACGTCTGTCTGACTGCCTTTCTGTCTATCTATATATATATCTGTGCCTAAAGATTCCTCCTATTCCCTCTCCCACACATACATATGTCTACAGTATATCTATCTATCAATTGATCAATGACCGTAAAGATCCTTGTTATACTCTCTCTCTCTCTCTGTAACATATATAGATATGGGGTTTTAAAGATCCTAAGGATCCCTGCCATTCTCTTGCTCGCTCTCATTCTCTCTCAGACACATGTCTGTCTGTCTGCCTGCCTGTCTGCCTGTCTCTATCTATCTATCTATCTATCTCTGTGCCTAAAGTTCCTTCCCATTGTCTCTCCTTCCCCCACACATACATATGTTTGAAGTATATCCTATCAATCTATTTATGGTCGTAAAGATCCTTGTTATACTTTCTCTTTTTCTCTCTCTCTGAAACACATATAGATATAGGGTTTTAAAGTTCCTAAGGATCCCTACCATTCTCTTGCTCTCTCTTTTGCTCTCTCACACACGTCTGTCTGACTTCCTTTCTGTCTATCTATCTCTATCTATCTGTCTATCTATCTGTGCCTAAAGATCCCTCCCATTCCCTCTCCCACACATACATATGTCTACAGTATATCTATATCTATAGGCCTAAAGACCTGGGTCCTAAAGGCCCTGTCCATTCTCTCTCACACACACATATCTATGTTATATCTATCTGGCTTATCTATGGCCCTAAAGGCACTTGTTATTCTTTCTCTCTCTCTGACATACATATATAGAATTGTATATATATATGGTCCTAAAGAGCCTAAGGATCCGTTATTCCCCCTCCCCCCCTTTCGTTCTCTCACACACACCTATCTATCTGTCTGTCTCTGGCTCTAAAATTCCATCTCATTCTTTCTCCCTCTCTTTCTCACACACATGCAGTATATCTATTTATCTGTGGTCTTAAAGATCCCTGCCATTCCCCCCCCCCCATGTCCACACATAGACCCCCCACCCCTCCCTCTCTTACACACACAAGTGAAATGCAGGAAAAGGCACCAGTTGAATAGGTTTCCTTTGGGACTACCATACCGTAAATCCCCCCTCCACACACAAATACATGCACACAGGTTAGGGACATTTGGGATCTGAGGGTGAGCCCACACTGTAGAATTATTTCAGTTTGACATCTCTTTAACTGCCATGGCTCAGTACTATCAAGTATCAATCCTGGGTATTGTCGTTTCACAAGGTCTTTAGCCTTCTCTGCCAAACAGTGCTGGTGCCCCACCAAAACTACAAATCCCAGCACTTTGTAGCATTGAGCCATAGCACTTCAGGTAGAAGCATGTTTGTCTCCCTGTTTCCTCATCAGCAGTTCTTGTTGAGTGTCTGTCTTTCCTAGAGAAGACCCGCTGAAATTAATGGCACTTGTTAGTCATTGTTGTATTAAACCCCATTGATTTATTGGGCTGTTTTAGGCAGGGCTAACTGGATTTAGTCTATGGGTCTAGCCATACTGCATGACTGTTATATGTCAAGCCTAACTTTCATTTAATAAAAAAACAATACTGTCACAAAGTTCTTAATCTGAATAACTAGACAAGTATTATATGGATTCTTCAGGTGGAACAAATGGATAATTGCTCTGGAAGATTTATACCTTCACCTATGAAAAGAATAGGATTTTTGGCTAGTTCTTTCCTGGCATAAATCTCCTGATAACAGGTTTTATTACAGTGATGTGGCAGTTCTGTTGTTTGTTCAACTGTAGTTTGGGCGAGGAATTGGCACATTATGTTCCACAAAGGTTTTGAGTATTGTTAGCTGCAATGCGGAACAAGACACTGGGGAAGGTTGACCAAAAAAAAAAGAAAAGAAAAGAAAAAGAAGTGATGTCGTCAAAATTTGGTATTTACTTTAAGTGGCTTTGAAATTGTGTCTCTGAGTCACAAATAATGTAGCTAGAAAGAAACTCTCTTACCCTCAGGGAGGAAGATGAGAGGGAGAAAAGGGACTAAATATCATAATGAAAGCCATAAATAATCGACACATTGACTGGAATTAGCCCCAAGTGACCATATCTTACATCTTTGACAGTACTATTCAGCTCAGTGCCTATATAATTCTATATAATTTATGAAGTAGTAAGCCCAATTTAGTTAAGTAGGGCTTACTTTCACATAAATTATACTGGATCATAGTCTAAATTAATGTAATTTTAACAAATTGAAGAGCTTCTCTGCATTCACAGAGAACACTTCCATGTCCTCCCTACCATTGCTACCATGTACAAGTTGGTTACAATATAGATATGACATCAGGATTCCTCAAATCAAAATAAAAGGAGGGATTTTGAATGTGTCGATCTTAATATTATGCAGGACTTTCAGATGAAAAGAACAATCCGGCAGCTGCGTAAAGCAGCATTTCTCAACCTGGGGGTCGTGAGGGGGATGTCAGAGGGGTCGCCAAAGACCATCAAAGAACACAGTATTTTTTGTTGGTCACTGGGGTTCTGTGTGGGAAGTTTGGCCCAATTCTATCATTGGTTGGGTTCAGAATGCTCTTTGATTGTAGGCAAACTATAAATCCCAGAAACTACCATTCCTAAATGTCAAGGTCTCTTTCCCCCAATCTTTACCAGTGTTTACATTTGGGCATGTTGAGCATTCGTGCCAAGTTTGGTTCAGATTCATCATTGTTTCAGTCCACAGTGCTCTCTGGATGTAAGGAACTATAACTCTAAAACTCAAGGGCAGTGCCCACCAAACCCTTCCAGTTTTTTTAAGGTCATGGCAGTTCTGTGTGCCAAGTTGGGTTCAATTCCATCATTGGTGGAATTCAGAATGCTCTTTGATTGTAGGTGAACTATAAATCCCAGCAACTACAACTCCCAAATGACAAGATCAATCCCCCTAATCCCCCACCAGTA